TTCTAGAAAGGAGTACATAGAATCACACTCTAGTCAGATGGCTGGATTGTGGTGGAAGTGGTAGTGGTGGTGATATGTATTTTGGTGTCTATGATGAGGGCAGATATGGATGCCTTTAAAGAAAACCCTCCCAATAGAAACTTTAATTACACCCCCAGATAACCTTGCACCTGTAATCTAAGTCCAAACTTGAGGTGATTTTTTTCTTCCCCACAAACCAACAGCCTAAACGTTTTTCTGCTTCACTGCCCTTTCCCCAGCACTGGGTGCTGACAGGACTCTGTCTCCCTGCCTGTGGTGTTTCCCTTCCTACCTGTTGGCTCCATGGTCCTCCACCCCAGGGGCAGCAGAAAATTGGGTGGACTGAGCCCCTGGGTGGACTGAGATGAGCACTGCAGGCAGAGGGCTGTGGCCTGTGAGACCAGGATGGGCCTCTCTTGGCCAGTGTTCCCTGCCTCATTGGGAACTCGATGGTGTCAGTGATATCCTAAGGGTCTGCTGTTGAGGAAGAGCCCTGAGCTTGTGAATGTCCTTCAGTGGGTTTTCTCCATGTAGTTCCCCCAAACTTGACATGGCATCTGCTCTCCCCTGGGTCCCTGACCAACAGCCCAAGATATCAGTGTTGAGCCCTGACTTGACAATGATCTGGCACATCCTGGTCAGCTTAGTCTGGTGTGGGCCTTGGGCCTGGCTGCTCTAGATGCTCCTTCCTCTCCACCCCTTCCAGGTTCCCTGTTTCCTCCTGTTTTAAGCCCCTTCACTCAGAAGTCTCCATCTCTTTTCTTTGGGAAATTCTCCTGTTAATAGGAGTCTGCTCCTCACTACATTTCTTGAAATTTCCATTCCTAGGGACGTGACCCTTTGTGAGGACAGCTGTCCCTTGCAGGCTTTGCAGGTTCTTAGGTGTAGAAGTACACTCTGAAAATGAAATATAAAATTGGTGCTGATTCCATTCTGGCCTCTGCAGCTGTGAGAGCAATGAGTACATTTACCAAGAAGAAATCACACTTCACTCTGACAAGCATGATTTCTCAGACAACATCTCATAAGAGTATATAACTCAAGCACAGGCTCACATAGTAAGGCATCAGTGCACACGAGTTGCCCCATTTCCTTGTTTAATTGCAGCCCTGGTGCCAGGTGCCAAAGAGCACTGACTCTTCCCTGAGCTCAGTGCATGCAGCAGGACCTGCCGCTCCCTGTCACCCTTTCTGAATGTGAAGTCCCTGCTTTAATAGAGGCTTGTCTCATAGAACAGAGTCACAGAAATATTTTGGATTTATCTTCCTGTTCTCCTACTGTTTTTCATCTGGTCTAAAGGATACTCATCCAATGTGTGTTTTAACCATGTTCCACAGTATATTTATTTTCCCATCAATTCATTTTCAACTTTCTTTGTCCTTGTATGTTAGACAGGTAACATTTACTTGAATTTTGTTGTTTTATCTTGATTTGCTTTTATTTTTTAAAAGATTTATTTATTTATGCATACAAGAACTGGGGTACAGGCCAGAGGTGCGGAGGGGCGGGTGAGAGGACTCACCAGAGACAGAGTGGGAAACAGAGAGGCAGACAGACTGAAATACACTGCTGAGGGGAGCAGCTGGTGAGAGAGGAGAGGGCTGTTCCATGTGGGTTGCTCACTGGCAGGCTGGGGCTCAAACTCCTGCTGCAGAAGCTGCGGATTGCTTCATGATGCTGTGCTTAACCCCTTGCACCACCAGGGAGGCCCTTGATTTGCTTTTAGTTGAAGTATCTGATCCATTTACTTTAAACAAGTGCTGATGTTGTTAATATGTACCATTTACTCTTAACTGACTCACCAGCTCTACATGCCCTTTCCATTTTTAGGCTTTTTTTTTTTTTTTTAAAGATTTATTTATTTATTTATTTATACATGCACTGGGTACAGTCAGAAGCGCTGGAGGATGAGAGAATTCACCAGGGTCAGAGCGGGGAGCAGAGCAGGCAGAAGGACCGAAGTACACTGCTGAGGGGAGCAGCGGGCGGCAGGAGAGGTCTGCGCGCCATGTGGGACCCTCCTCCGGTGGCCGGGGAGCAGCTGGGGATTGAACCGGCACTGCAGAGGCTGCGGGCAGCTTTGCAACCCAGCGTTCAACCGCTGCGCCACCGGGGAGGACCTAGGCCTTTTTTTAAAATTAAACAATGATACTCCTCTTTTTCTATGATTTTTATGAGCTTTACAAGGTGTCAGGGTTCTCATATCTTCCTTGGTATTCTCTGAGCTTCTTGAAAATGTGAGTTATAGCTTTCATCCATTTTTTAAAAATTGTCAGCCATTATCTCTTCAAATATTACTTCACTGTTCTCTGTCTCTGTCTGTCCTCTTCCTCAGCTGGCAAATGTTACTTTGATATCTTTAATATATTTACAATTCTATGTTCTTGTCTTCTCCCACCCTTTTTTTTTCACTAAATTCATGAATCATAGTTAAAACTCATCTGCCATGTGTGTTTCTAACTTCTCTTATATTGCTTTCCTTTTCACTATGTCATGTGAGCCCATCTTTCTACATGCCATGTTACTTCGTATTTAATATTAAAAATTGTGTGATAAAATAGGAAACTCCAGATCTTTTCTGTAACCTGGAAGCATCATCTTCTGTTCAGCTAGGCAGGTGGGGCTGGGACTGCTGAGCACCCAGATATTTAACTGTAACCCAGACCTGAGCTTGAACAAGCATCGCTGGCAGTTTGGGTGACAGTCTACCTCTGCCTATCTTTGTGCCTATGGCAAGGGCATTCTGGGAACTCAGAATTCAGCTGAGAGCCTGGATATTTTGGTAGCTCAGCACCAAGAGAACAAAGGACTAGCCACTCTGCTTTCCAAGAGTTTTGACATAGCCTTTGACCTCCTGTCCTGAACAACATGCACACTGGGCAAATATTTGCAAGCAAACCTGCTCTATGGGCATGGCCCTCAGGAATATCTATATCACACTTGATGCCAGCGCTTACTCTAAGTCGGTCATGGAATGGAGAATAAAACCTACAACTCCCCCATTTTTTATTATATTTATTTTTTATTTTATTTTTATAAGTTCTAGGTTTTATTCTCTATTTCATCCTTAAATTGCAATAATGACACATTATTGAACTTCTCAGTGTTATTTTTTATATATAAAATGGAGAAAATAATAACACAGCAAGTGTATTTGACAGAAAAGTCAATTCTGTTTTTTTTTAAAGAATTATTTATTTATTTATACAAGCACTGGGTACAGTCAGAGGCACGGGAGGGTGAGAAAATTCACCAGAGCCAGAGTGGGGAACAGAACAGACTGACGAAATACACTGCTGAGGGGAGCAGCGGGTGCTGCAGGAGAGGTCTGAGCACCATGTGGGACCCTCGCCGGTGGCCGGGGATGGAACCGGCATTGAAGAGGCTGCGGGCAGCTTTGCAGCCCAGCACTCAACTGCTGCCCCACCAGGGAGGCCCTCAAATCTGTTTGAGTTTTTTCAGCTCAGGAATATAACCTGATTCTATCTGTGGTGGGGTTAGAGATACATTATATTTCTCCTAAACACTGAATAACTCCAAATTTTGAATAATAGCAATTCCTGACATGAAGTTCAAGTAGAGATTATACTGTTTCGGGGAAGAAGCAGATGTGTGATGCCCAGTGTCTCAGGCCAAGTTAGTCTCAAACACCATCTCTCATGTGAGGTGGCCCCATCTACTCAAAGAGAAGTTCATTCTGGAGGCTATGTTAGGGGGAAAGGATGTCCTGAGATAATCTCATACAGGCTTTGTGGACTCCACCCCCACTCCAGACTAAAGCCATCAGGACATTGGGAAAGACAAATCCCATCACCACCAAGGGGAGGGTGGCTGGGACCTGAGGGTGGAGTTGGGCAGCCAGGTTGGATATAAAAACCAAACACGTGGGCCTTGTTCTCTCTCTGGCTCACGATCGCTCGCCTCCTGGCTTCACCGCTCCTGGCTGGCGGCCAGCTCTCAGAGCGCCATTTTGGGATTCCTGATCGGCGGATCGGGTAGGACTCATTTAAAACTTTGTCTCCCACTTTTCTCCCAGAGCTGTACATTTCCTCATTTCCCTTTCCCTTGTAAATAAACCTTTTATTAACCTTTCACGTGTGCCTGCAGTAGAGCATTGATAAGTCCTTTTAAGCGCGCGGGTGAGGACCCACAGTCAGGCACCCCGTTTTGTATCGGGGCTGCTCTACAACAGTTTGGCGCCCAACGTGGGACTTTGTCTCCCACTTTTCTCCCAGAGCTGTACATTTCCTCATTTCCCTTTCCCTTGTAAATAAACCTTTTATTAACCTTTCACGTGTGCCTGCAGTAGAGCATTGATAAGTCCTTTTAAGCGCGCGGGTGAGGACCCACAGTCAGGCACCCCGTTTTGTATCGGGGCTGCTCTACAACAGCTAGACCCATAAATGAAATATTCTGGGCAAATACATGGCCTGTCTCATGGTCTTTAATTTTTCAGCTGTGAGTGACGCTAGCAAGAGCAGCTCAGAATGGAACGGGTCTCCTGGCTGCCTCCAGAGGATTCTGATAAGCTCCCAACAGTTCCCTTTAATTCAATAGCATGGAAATGGGTATAATTTATAAGGAATCCACCAGCTACAAGCCCTCTACAGCCACTCTGCACTCATTTAGCTGTTCAGGGCAGAGATTCTGACATTTCGGGACACCTTGTCAGATGCCATGTAGACTCTACATTAGGGTTACTCTGACTGGACCTGGTCACACCTGCTCTCTCAGACTGCTCACTAGTTGTTTTCAGCTCCATTTCTCCTGTTCTATCCTATTTTCAACTCTAATGTGCTGCTTGTCGCTATAGGAGACCAGGTGCTGCTGAGTGCAAGCACTGTGTCTCCACCAGCAGGCTCTGCATCCTCAGAGTGGGACACTGCCATTTGCTCAGGTCAAGGGCCGACCAGGGGAAGCCTTCCTCTTCCAGGTTACATGGCCCCACCCCCACGACTCTCTCCTCAGACAGCCCGCAGCTCCGCCTGGTGGATGGAGGCCATCACTGCGCCGGCAGAGTGGAGATCCTTCACCAGGGCTCCTGGGGCACCATCTGTGAGGATGGCTGGGACCTGCCTGATGCCCACGTGGTGTGCAGACAGCTAGACTGTGGAGAGGCGCTGGAGGCCACAGTCTCTGCTCACTTCGGGCAGGGATCAGGGCCCATCTGGCTGGACAATCTGCAGTGCACAGGAAAGGAGTCCCATGTGTGGAAGTGCCAGTCCCAGGGCTGGGGGGAACACAACTGCAAACATATCGAGGATGCAGGAGTCATCTGCTCAGGTATGGTCAGTGCATTTTCAGGGGCTGAGGGAATGGAAAGTTCCTAGGAGGCTGGTGTCTGTTGGGACAGCAGAGATAGATGGCTGGAGAGGTCTGAGACACATCCCATCTCTCCATAGTCCTGAGGGCACAAAGCTTCTGTGAATGATGAGCGTCCTTTACTCCTATAGAAACTGCTCATCCTTCCTTCTGCATTGGTCTTACCTGACAAAAGAACTTAATCTATTATCATCCTGATTAAAACCTACTCATGATTCTTTCATAATTTACTTTTTGTAAGAGTAAACTTATGTAAATCTCCATACTAACTCCTTCTCTACAGTGAACTGGTCTTCGGCAGTCCCCAAAGCAGCTACATCAGGAGGCCAGAGTGTGCCAACTCAGTAATCCTGAACCAGTCACTCCCCTGACAGAACCTCCCTGGGTTCTGCTTCTCTGGCCTAAATAAGGACAAAGAGCTTGAGCATCTCCAATAATATTTGCATCTCTTTAAACACATTGATATTTTAAAAAATTATTTATTTATGTATGTTTTGCATCATTGTTCATTTTTAAACAATGTTTGCTTCCTCCCACCACTCAGGTGTAGTCCCCATACAATTTCCCCCACCAGTTCACCCATGCACCATCACCACAATTCCGTGTGCTCCTCCCTCCCTCCTTCTGACCCCCCCCCACCCCGCAGGATGTCTCTGGTTTATAATTGTCTGTTTTTGTTTTGTTGTGTTTGTATTGGTACGAGTTTTCCCCCCATATCTTATTTGGTTTCCCTGTATTCCTCCTGTAAGTGAAACCATTCGATGTTTTTCTTTTTCCTTCTGACTTATTTCACTAAGCATAATTCCTTCTAGCTCATCCATGTTGCTGAAAATGGCATTAGTTTATCTTTTTCGATTGCTCAATGGTATTCCATTGTGAAGGTATGCCACATCTTCTTGATCCAGTCATCTATTTTTGGGCATTTGGGTTATTTCCAGGTTTTACCTATTGTAAATAGTACTGCAATAAACATAGGGGTACATGTATTCTTTTGAATCAATATTTTTGTGTCCTTCAGGTAGATCCCTAGGAATGGAATTGCTGGGTCATGTGGTAGCTCCATTTTTGGTACACTGAGGAGCCTCTATACAGCTTTCCATATTGCTTAAAACAGTTTACACTCCCACCAGCAATGCAGGAGAGTTCCTTTTTCACCGCATTCTTGCCAACATTTGTTGTTGCTAGTTTTTTTGATATGTGCCATTCTTACTGGTGTAAGGTGGTATTTCAGTGTGGTTTTGATTTGCATTTCCTTGATGATAAGGGATGTTGAACATTTTTTCATATGCATGTTGGCCATTTGCATTTCCAGGAGAAGTTTCTTTTAAGTTCTTCTGCCTATTTCTTGTCTGGATTGTTTACTTTGTTTTTGTTGAGTCTGTGAGTTCTTTGTATATCTTTGTGATCAGTCCCTTATTGTTGTATGGAGTACAATGAATTTTTCCCAATCAGTGGGGTGTCTCTTTGTTTTTGTTAATGTCTCTTTTGTAAACACATTGATATTTATCAATAAAAGTGCCATACATTTTTCAGTGTGGGTCTGGGTGCCTCTGATCCTTCTGATTGAGGTAACAGTGTGTCCGCATCTCTTCAAATTTATGACCACATGTGAGCCCAGTTCTCTACAGTGCACATTGCAAATATAATGGGGTTTTTTTATCTTCAGTTTTCCTTATGTTGTTCTTTGTGTGGTGTTAGGTTAAATAGATTAATTCCAACCTCAGTGGCTCTTGGTAAAACTGTTTTTTTTCCCCCTGCCATTTCACCTGGTTAGGCAGATTTTTAGAACCTTATCCTGACCTTTCATTTAAAGGTCAGATCAGTAGCAATGATATCCAGTAAATAGACAAGGAGCTGGACAGGTGCTGTCAGTGAGAGCCCAGTCTTCACCCTGACATTTCACCCACTCTCTTCAGAGGGGTGCATCAGGAAGTGAGGTTCTTCCCTGGACCTCAGTTGTGTAGAAACTGCATGTATATTCCAATAAATACACAAATGACACCAAACTATTGGCCGTTTTCATGTAGTGAGCTAAATTCTATTTACCTTGGATGAACATTGATGAATTATTGGAATATTAAAATGCTACTTCTCACTAACAATACCAGTCTTTCCCACATATTAAAATGTTCCTATCAAACTGATGCCATTTACTGCAGCATGAATGGAGCTGGAAGGGATTGTGCTAAGGGAAATAATTCAGAAGGAAAAAGATATCTATCTGATGGCTTCACTTACATATGGAATATAGAAAAACCATAAAAAGGGTCACAGAAATGAGGAAACTTGAAAACTGACCATAGATGTGAGGTCACAGGATGAGAGGGGGAGAGAGGGTAAAAACAATGGCAGGAAGAGACAAGGGTCTATATGCTGGTGCATGGGTGATTTGGTGGTGGAACTATGGGGTCATGAACACTCACTCACTTTTGTTTTCTCTAGGATTTGTGCGTCTGGCTGGAGGGGATGGGCCCTGCTCAGGGCGAGTGGAAATGCTTTCCAGAGGAGAATGGACTCCAGTGTCTGACGGGAACTTCACATCCCCCACTGCCCAGGTCATCTGTGCAGAGCTGGGGTGTGGCAAGGCTGCGTCTGTCCTGTGGGGCATGCCCTTCAGAGAGTCAGATGGACGGGTCTTTGCTGAAGAGTTCTGGTGTGAGGGGCAGGAGCCAGAGCTCTGGTTGTGCCCCAGGGTGCCCTGTCCTGGAGGCACCTGCCACTACAGCGGGACTGTTCACCTTGTCTGCTCAGGTGAGACCTGAGCAGGATTCACCCTCCCTGCCTATTATGTTGGGGTTAAAAACACATGAACTTTGGCTGAAACCCTGTCCTCTCCTCCCAGCATACACAGAAGTGCGACTCATGAGTGATGGCAGCTCTCAGTGTGAGGGACAGGTGGAGATGAGTATTTCTGGACGCTGGAGAACGCTCTGCGCCTCCCACTGGAGTCTGGCCAATGCCCATGTTGTGTGTCATCAGTTTGGCTGTGGAGTGGCCCTGTCCACCCTCAAAGGAGCACACTCTAGGAGAGGAGCTGACCAGGTCTGGAGGGGCCGATTTCACTGCTCAGGGGCTGAGTCCTCCTTGTGGAACTGCTCTGTGACTGCCCTGGGTGCTCCTGACTGCGGCCCTGGAAACACAGTCTCTGTGATCTGCTCAGGTGAGAGAGGGCCACTAACTGGACTCAGGGTGCTCTGGCCCCTCAGAGCGGGGCATGTGGGAAAACTGGTTCGTGAGTGAGGAGTGGGTTACGGAGATATAAGTATTTGTGAAAATGTACCCCATGTACTCTAAGTGTTGGTGTTTCATTGTAGGAGAAGTACATTTTAATACAGTTTAATTTTTTTTTACCAGTTTTCTTTTGTTTCTAGATTAATTCTCTGTGGTCAATAGCAATGATTTTTATGACTTTCTCTTACTTTTTCCTTTGAAAAACATTTGGAACTCATTTACCATAACATACAATCAGTTCTGATAAATGACCTACATGCTCTTAAGAATAAAATGTAGTCTTTTGTTTTGAGTTGCAGGTTTTACAAATCATACAATTCAGATTTCCCAAATACCTACTGACAGATTTTCTCTCAGCACTGAGATACATCTTTCATTTTTGGCTTCTGAATACACAATTTTCAAAATATGATCATGGAAAGCAATCATTTTGTTTTCGTATTTTCAATCTCATTTTCTTCATTCCTTAATCCCTCAACATAGTTCCTCCTAGCCCATCAGCCTTTGGTAATAAATCCTTCTTATTTCTTCCTACTGCCTTGATTCCAAAGGAACAAGTCTGAGCTCCTGTGAATGAAGATGTTCTCAACATCTATGCACACATCCTGCAGACACACATTTTAAGTTCAGTGTAGGAGAAGCTTAATTGATGAAAAGCATTTCTCTTCCTTTTTAGGTCTCATGATAAGTGTCCTGGCTACTATTGCTATGTTACCAATTTTCCCCAAAAACTTAGAAACAGAAACAAAAATGCATTTTATTTTGCTGTGATTTTTGGGTCAGGAATTTGGGGAAGCTCAGTGGCAGTTCCCTCTGGCAGTTTCACATAGCTGAAGTTAATTGGGCTGAAGTCATGCCAGAGCTCCCTTAACTGGGAACCCAGGATGCTCAGTGACTGGATGGCAGACCCCCTGCCTGTGGCGCTCCCCAAGACAGGCTCAGCAGAGCAGCTCCCCTAAAGCAAATGTCCTCAGAGGGCCTGAGGAGTCTGCACAACTTTTCTGTCCTAGCGCAGGAAATCAGCTGTTTTTCCTCCACTGCATCACGTTGCCTTCAAGAAAGTCATGAAGATCAGTGAGATGCAAGGGAATGAGGCAAAGACCTCACTGCTCAGTGGACACCTTAACAAATAATTCTGTGGATGTGTTTAAACAGCACTATTACAGCCTCACTGTGATAGTGAATTTTTATAGCCCACATTTCCTTCTTTCATTTGTGTATTTAAGAATCTAAAACTTCATAAATTTGTGACTTAAACCTTTTACCATATCTGTTGTGCTCCTTTTCATGTTGTCTGTTGTTTCATCCCGCAATCTTCCTTATATTCTCCTCTGATCTTCCACTTTACTCCCCTGCTTCCAAATCTCTGCTGAGGTTTTCAGAGTCACATCTATACTGTTGAATTGAGTAAGGTCTCAAGAGGAAATAGGCTCAACCCTGCTCTTTGCTTCTATCTGAGCATCTGGCTCCAAAATGCTCTCTGTCCTAGAAGCAACCCTTCAACGCTATTGCCATATTCCCACTTTTCTAAATTCATTCTCAGTGATTCTCAGTATTTGTCTTAAAAACAGAAATATTGGTTTTTTGGGGCACAATTTCATGCAGAAAGTGAACAGTAAAATAATGATGCCATGAGTGTTTAGTTAAAGTGTTCATTCAGCTCTCTCCACTAGGTTATCATCTAGTTTAATTCAGTTTTCTGCTCTTCAACCCACTAACCCTCTGACCTTGCTGCTCTGCAGGAAACCAGACCCAGGTGCTGCCCCTGTGCACCCACTCCCCGTCTCCACCAGCAGGCTCTGCAGCCTCAGAGGAGGGCACAGCCAACTGCTCAGGTGAGGGCCTTCCAGGACCAGGAAAGCTTCTCCTTGAAGGTGAGAACCCCCTTGACCTGACTCTCTCCGCAGACAGCACACAGCTCCGCCTGGTGGACGGAGGCCATCCCTGCGCCGGCAGAGTGGAGATCCTTCACCAGGGCTCCTGGGGCACCATCTGTGATGATGGCTGGGATCTGCGTGATGCCCACGTGGTGTGCAGACAGCTGGGCTGTGGGGAGGCCCTCAACGCCACGGTCTCTGCTCACTTCGGTGAGGGATCGGGGCCCATCTGGCTGGAGGAGCTGCAGTGCACAGGAAATGAGTCCCAGGTGTGGAAGTGCCCATCCCTGGGCTGGGGGCACCATGACTGCAGGCACAAGGAGGACGCTGGGGTCATCTGCTCAGGTCTGCACTGCACATTGTCCAGGGTTTGGGGGCATATTGTGTGGGTGTGAGGGAGATACTGAGCACAGAGTCTGAAAAAGAAGAGGGGTGCAAGCTTCCTCCAGAGTGTCTGACTCTCTAGCACATATGAGGATTAGGTGTCTCTTTCTTTCCTGTGGCACCTGAGGGCCTGGTCCTTCCTTCTCAGCAACATCTCCTGATGGAGCCACGACGTACAGTTTTCATTTGCAAGCAGGGCTCACTCTTCAGTGTCCTATAATATAGAATCTTGATCCACTGTACTGGTTTCTACTTCTTGTAACAAATTTCCACATAATTAGTGGTTAAAGCAACTTATATTTATCATTATACAGTCTTGTAGGTTAGAAGACCAACACCATCTCACTGGGTTAAAATCAAGGTGTGAGCAGGGCTGCATCACTTCTAAGTCCTGGGGAAGAATCAGTCCCAAGCCTCTAGAACCTGTCTGCACTTCTCAGCAGAGCCCCCTTCCTTGTTCATCAGAATAGCAGTGTTACACATCTCTCATCATTCTCCATAATCACCTCTCTCTCTCTAACCAAAAGCACTTTTACAAACAGTGAGTCCCACATGAGATTACACTTGGCTCACATGGTTAATCCTCAGTGTTTAGGTTAATCTCACCTTTCCAAGGCTTTCTCTTAGTCCCATCTGCATAGTATCTTTTTGTGCAAGGTCTCATATGCACATGTTAGGTGATGATATGCAGTTTCCAGGGATCATGATGCAGACATCTTTGGTGGGGTTATTCTGCCCCCACCCCATTATCACACCTGCTTTAGCAGTCTATAGTTTTGTCTGGAAGCAGCATCAGTGTTTCTTCCCTGCAGAGAGCCCAGAGCGCCTAGTGCCCTGCTCATGGTGCCTGTCTCCCCCTTTCTCTTTCAGAGTTCCTGGCCCTCAGGGTGGTGAGCGAGGACCAGGACTGTGCTGGGTGGCTGGAAGTTTTCTACAACGGGACCTGGGGCAGTGTGTGCAGCAGCCCGATGGATGCCACAACCTTGTCTGTGATCTGCAGACAGCTTGGATGTGGGGACAGCGGGACCCTCAACTCTTTGGTTGCTGTTAGGGAAGGGTCTAGACCCCGGTGGGTAGATGGAATCCGGTGTAGGAAAACTGATGCCTCTCTCTGGCAGTGTCCTTCTGACCCTTGGAAATACAGTTCGTGCTTTTCAGGAGAGGAAGCTTCTATCAAGTGTGCAGGTGACTGTTGTATGTGTCGGTTATCACCCCGTACGCTGTCGCTAGTGATGTTTATTTTCAAATCCAGCTCATGAGTTTGTTAGGTCTTTAAAATTAAGTTGCATAATTATTTAATCCCCATGTTTCAGTCCTGTTTTAGAGGAAAATATAAGGAAACTTGTGCTGACAGCAGTACATGTGAAAAATACCAGGTGATTTTATTGAACTTGTGGGGAGTGTGAATAATCCTCTAGTCAACATGTAAGGCTAGTGAATGAGGACTAGCTAAATGCTATGCTGAACACCTTGAAATAAGTGAGGCCCAGGTCCCCATGCTCTGTGTCTCATATGCTCCTGAATTTTTGCATCGAAATGCATCTGTACTCGTCAGACTCCTGGTCCGTCTGCTGGCAGAGAGTAAACCGTGTCTTGTAGAATCAAAATTACACTCCAGGTCAGAGGACAGAGAAGAGAGAATATATAATCTCTGCCTTCATGGAGCAGGAAATCCCAGGTTGAAAACTCTCCTTAGGCTGGAGGTCATTGCCATGAGGATTAGGAAATATGTGAAGGTGTACCTGGGGCCAGAGGAGAAGTCCTGCTTTGATGGAGATGAAGGATGAGAAAGAGTCCTGTCATGGAGGAGATGGGGAGATTTTCCTGGTCAGTGTAGTACTGGGTTTTGAGAAAATTCTGTCATGGCAAGAGGAGAAGGAAGATAGGGGGAGCGAGACGGGACCCTAGAAGGTAGAGCAGAGCGGAGACCTCCCAACCTCTCGTGGGCACCTGCAAGGAAACAGTTCTCTCAAGGAGGAATTGGTTAATCCTCTTCACTGTCACTGCTGAGAGGGCAGGGACCTTGGGTCTCCAGATCTTTCTTTTTGCTTTGCTCACTTCTTTTTTTTTTAATATAATTTGACTATTTTTTATTTTTAAAAGATATGTTTATTTATAAAAGCACTGGGCATAGTCAGAAGCGCGGGAGGGTGAAAGAATTCACCAGAGCCAGAATGGGGAACAGAACAGGCAGTCTGATGAAATACACTGCTTAGGGGTGCAGAGGGAGCATCTGGAGAGGTCTGTCGCACCATGTGGGACCCTCGCTGGTGGCCGGGGATTGAACCGGCACTGCAGAGGCTGCGGGCAGTTTTGCAGCCCAGCGCTCAACCACAGCGCCACCAGGGGACACCCTGCTTTGCTCTTCTAAGAGTGAACTGAATCCCAGTTTTCTGGTTGATCTGTTATGTAATTTTAAAAAAATAATTAATTTACTTATGCATAACAGAGCTGGGGTAAGGCTGAGGGGTGTGTGTGTGGGGGCAGGGGGAGGTGAGAGGAGTCACCAGAGACAGTGGGGAACAGAACAGGCAGATTGACCAGAGTACACTGCTGAGGGTTGCAGTGGGTGAGTCAGGAAAGGTCTGTGGCGTCCTGTGGGTAGCTTCCAGGCTGTCCAGGGATCAAACTCTTGCTGCAGTGGATGCAGATAGATTCATAGGTTGTGTCTTAACTCTTGTGCTACCAGAGAGGCCCCCTGTTATGTAATTTTTCCTTAAAAAAGTGTAAGTGGAGTGTTGAACATGAATTATTTCTGTGATTCTAGAGTTATTTTACAAATATCTTCTCTTTAGTACAACAGACCACTGATAGGATTTTGCATTTTTTATAGTAGTTTACTCATAAATAATAAAGGAACTATACTTCACTAGATTTTAGTCATCAGCGCGATTGATCAAGCCCCTCTGCCCAGTGCTTACAGCAGTTTCTACACTCATACGTGTTGAATGAAGGCCTGTGGGGCACCAGGCACTGAGCTAAGAGCAGGAGCACAGATGTGGGTCAGATGTGCTGGGTCTTTCCTCTAGCAGAGCTGCATCTGTGTGTGTGTTAGTTGTGGAGCATGGAGAGTGATACACAAGAGAAAGATAAATTAATTCAGCTGCTTCTATCAGACCTTCTTTGGGGGGCAAGAGCACCCCTCCTGTCGCTGACCCAATACTCTCTTTTTGCTTCCTCAGAAAAGAGGCCCAAGAGCTGTCCTTCTGCAGCCCCCTGCACAGGTACATCAGCTCCTCCCAGCTCCCCGTTGCCCCTGGGGCTCCTCCTCCAGCAGGGCCCTAACAGAGGGGTCCCCTGGCCTTGCAGACAGGGAGAAGCTGCGCCTGCGGGGAGGAGACAGCACGTGCTCGGGCCGCGTGGAGGTGTGGCACGCGGGGGCGTGGGGCACGGTGTGCGACGACTCCTGGGGCCTGGCCGAGGCCCACGTGGTGTGCGGGCAGCTGGGCTGTGGCTCGGCGCTGGATGCCCCGCGGGCGGCGGCCTTTGGCCCTGGAAATGGCAGCATCTGGCTGGACGAGGTGCGGTGCAGGGGCGGGGAGTCCTCCCTGTGGGAGTGCCCTGCGGCAACCTGGGGGCAGAGCGACTGCAAGCATGAGGAGGACGCTGGAGTGAGGTGCTCGGGTGAGTGGGCGACCCTGTTGGGGGCGATGAGGGGACTTGTGCTGGCAGCAAGAGGCTCTTTCTGGATTCACGTGCTGCTCTGGGCCTGGCAACCTGTGGCTCTTGCCTGATGGCTTGGAAGCTGTGAGAGAACAAGGTGCCAGAGTGGTAGGTGTGACCTGGGGCTTTCCCACCCAGCTCAGTAGATGACCCCTCTCTCCCTTTCTCTCCAGGTGAGAGGACAAGAATCCAGCCCAACCTTGGAAGTAAGCGGCTCTTCTTCTCTGAGTTGTAGATAGAGGCACACACACATTTTCAGGGATCTGTGCAGTAGCATCTACATAATTCTGGAAAATTAATCATATCAGCACAGGAAAGGCCCATGCTCAGGCGCTGCAGTCCTGTTACCTCTGGCAGCCATAATGCCCCAAAACTTCATCCACTTCACTTTATAAAAATCCCTTAGACACAGATGCAGAAGACAGCTGGCACATCTCAGGGCAGGATCTGTATGGGCACATCTTGGGCTCAGGCCCAGGCATTGGATCTGAGTGCTAACTTCATGGATGAGGACTCAGTGGAGGAGCAAGAAGGGCAAGTGGGGAAGGGCTCTCCTGGACCTACAACCCTCTCTTGACCTCACAACCCTCTTCTGTCCTCAGCCAGCAGATCAGACTCAGCTCCAGGCCTGGGCATCTTCTCCCTGCCTGGGATCGTCTGCATGGTCTTGGGGGCCCTTCTCTTCCTGGTCCTGGTCATCCTGGGGATTCAGCTGCACAGAGGGAGAGCAGAGCACCAAGGTGGGCCATGGGGATGCTAAAGGGAAGTCGTGGGGTGTTATTGAGCCAGTTATGATACCAAGGAAAGTGCCCCAGTTGTGTCCACCCTCACAGACTGGCAAAAAGCACCTTCTCTACAGTAGCCTTCAAGATTTGAGACAGCTGAATCCTTGGTTTAGTGTAAATCCTCTCAAAAATTATGACTTACTGTGGAAACAGTGTCAGTGGGAATTGGGTATAGGATCGCAATCAGTGTCAGGAAAGCTGTCTCTGTCCCACAGAGCTCAGGAAGGGGCTGTGGCAGCCCAGAGGGCACCCCCAGAGATGGGCCTGGGAAAACACCATGTGCCTTGCTTGTTGTATAAGGACTGTTTGCAGGACCTTTCTCTGACGTCGTACCATTTTCTGCCGTCTCACCTGCTTTGGAAGATGTCGTAGATGAAGCCTTGTACCAGAAGATTGATAACTATGCTCTACCAGAAAAGGAGGACCCTTTGGACAGCACAGGTGTGTCCCATGCCTCCCCACTGTTCTCGAGCTGACCATGGGATCCCTTCACATTTATAGACTCAGTCTCTCAGCCTCCTCCCAAAGTAGGAGCTCCCAGACCTCTCCCTACAAATCCGAAGCCCCATTTCTTCTGAACCTTGACGCCGGGCCGCCTACTATGGCAAAAGATTTCTGTCTGTGATGGTCTCCCCTCACCAGGAAACCTCTCTGAAGACTCAGCGACTCAGTTGCAATGTTACACAGGGGATGATGAGAAGAAGGGAGATCCTGGATCTACCCCAGGTAGGAGACACAGATTTTCCTTTTTTGTGGGGATGAGAAGCAGGAATCTCTTCTGAAGAGAACTTCTGTGATGAGGATGGGAGGATTCTCTTCTGTCTTCTTCCCAAAAACCTTTTGCTCGCTCTCCACTCTGTTACCTCACAAAGGAAAATATCAGACCTAGTTCTCCGTATCCACATCTACTTCTAATCAGTAGCAGCCATGCACCGAATTCTTATAGACACAAAGGGCATTTTTTCAGTAATATCTAAAATTGACATTCTGAGAATTTCCATGGTGAACATTGGGAAGTGTGGTTTACACAGGAGATGGTGTGATGTTGGCGGGTCATGTACATACTGAGACCCCAAAAATTGATTTTGCTAAGACTTAGAAAACATGGACTGGACCTCCCTAGTGGTGCAAGGGGTTAATCACAGCTCTGTGAAGCTGTCTTCAGCCTCTGCAGCATAAGTTCAATCCCTGTCCAGCCAAGGAGCTAACCCACATGGCACAGCAGACTTCTCCTGTCTCATCCATTGCTCCTGTCAGCAGTGTTTTCATAGATCCCCTGTGTTGCTCCCCACTCTGTCTCTGGTGAATCCTCTCACCCCCTGCACCTCTGGCCTGTACCCCAGTTCTTGTATGCATAAATTAAAAAAAAGAAAACCATGGACTTCTGTTGCTTGTACTTACCAGCCACTGGAAGCTCTTATTGACAAGGGACCTAAGAGAGGAGAATTTTCCTCCTAGATCTTCCCCAGATGGTGGTGATGTATAGCTCTGGGCATTAAACATGAGACATGTGAGAGGGATCCTGAAATTGGATCCTTAGATCAAAGCATCCTTAGATCAGTGGAGTGAAACCCAGGCCCCCTTTGGTGGCAGGTACTGAATTGTTCATATTATATTTACAGCTCCATAGCATGTGCTTGAATGTGTACCTAGTTTCATATTACCATAGCTTTTTTTATGATGCTTTCTGGTATGAGAGGCCATGTTAGGAAAGTGTACTAGGATATGTGGAAGAAT